GTGAACTTTAGAGAGATACTCCACCCGCTCCTGAGAACATAACATTCTACTCCAGCCGTGGAAGATTTAAAAGAGGCCGAAGCAGCTCTTCAAATTCAAGAGGCAGAGGACCAAATCCAAGACAGCAGAATACTGCCGCACGTCCTCAGAATGCAACTCCAAATGCTCGTCCCACTTGCCAGATTTGTGCTAAGAATGGACACAAAGCAGTTACATGCTGGTATCATTACTCATCTCCCCCACCTGAGCCAATCCGTGCTCTACTTTCTCAGCATCAAAACAATCCTACGGTTTAGTGGATACTTAATTCTGGAGCTATAAGCCATCTTACTGCTGATTCTCAAAATCTTCAACAACCAACCATGTATGCCGGCTCAGACTCTGCGTCTATAGCAAATGGTAGCTCACTGCCCATTCAACACCAAGGCCAAGGACTTCTAACCCTCTCAAATATAGCTCGTAAGCTTTATCTTCAAAATATTCTTCATGTTCCGTCTTTATCACATAACCTTTTATCTATTCATATACTAACCTCGGACAATAATTGTTCGATTTCATTCGATGCTCACGGATTTACCATTCAGGATCTAGTGGACCACCAAATCCTCCTTCGTGGTCGAACTTGTGGTCTCTACTCTATCTCGACATCCACCTTCAACAATGCTCCAGTCGCTCTCCACTCCACTACGGACACAAGCAACTCACCTTGGCATGCTCGTCTTGGTCAACATCATCATCATCGTGTTATGCAGATCTTAGCTAAATTAGTTCCATCTATATGTATTCCTCCTAGTTCTTCTTTATGTCACTCTTGTAATGTGGGTAAAAGCCAGAAGTTACCCTTTATTTCTAGTACTACAAACATTTCTACTCCTTTTTCTATAGTTCACACAGACGTTTGGGGACCTTCCCCCATCTCTTCTATCAACAGATATCGCTATTTTGTTACATTTATAGATGCATATTCTCGTTTCTGCTGGTATTTAATGCACTCCAAAGATCAAACTCTCTCTAAATTTATTCATTACAATAAATTAATAAACAATCTTTTCAATACCAAAATCAAAATCCTTTACTCCGATGAAGGAGGCGAATTATCTTTTATCCAATGGCATCACTCATCAACAAACTTGTCCTTACACACCCGAGCAAAATGGTTTAGCCGAGCGAAAGAATCATCATCTTTTGGACATTACCCGAACTCTTCTCCATGCTGCTAATCTTCCAAATCATTTTTGGGCTGAACCCCTACTCACAGCCAACTACCTCATAAATCGTCTCCCCACCAAAGCATGCAACCTTCGCATTCCCTATCAGCTTCTTCATGGATAACTACCAAAATATGATCATTTACGAACTTTTGGTTGTCTAAGCTATCCTTGGCTTCGACCACTTACGACAAATAAGCTTCAACCTTACTCCCAAGATTCTCTTTTTCTTGGCTACACTCCCTCTCAAAAAGGTTATCGTTGCCATAATCTCCAAACTCAGAAAATACACATTTCTAGACATGTTGTCTTTCATGAAAACTACTTTCCCTACCACACCACATCTTCAGCTCCAACCCCCACCATAACTCCTATCCATTCCCCTCCTCTTATGCTTATTCCAACCTCCACAGTTCATCCTATCACAACTTTTCCTGTCTCGACATCCTCTGCACCGTCAACTGAGCCCTCTCCTGCACTATCCCTTTCTCCCACCCAATTCTCAACTTCCCCCACTTTACCATCCTACATCCCTAGAGTTTCCACTACTTCAAACTCTGCTCCTCTACTATCATCCTCTTCACCGCCACAGTCGCCTCTCCACCAAATGCAAACGCGATCCAAGACAGGCCACCTTAAACCCAAAGTCATCTTCAATCTATCTGCTACCACAACTCCACTCCCAACCCCCACTACATACAATCAAGCCATTAAATTTCCACAATGGCGCACCGCCATGTCTCAAGAATTCCTAGCTCTACAAAAACAAGCCACTTGGTCCTTAACCACACCACCACCCAACAATCCCGTCTTAGGCTGCATGTAGATTTTCAAAACCAAATTTAATACTGATGGCCAAGTATCTACCTACAAAGCTCGCTTGGTAGCTCAGGGCATTGCACAAGAATATTGGATAAATTACAAAGAGACCTTTAGCCTAGTTGTTAAGATGCCGACCATTCGCACTCTTCTTCTCATTGCCATCAACTGCGGCTGGCCAGTTTTGCAGTTCGATATTTCTAATGTCTTTTTACATGGAGACTTACCGGACACGGTTTATATGAAGCAACCACAAGGATTTGTCGATGAACAATTTCCTCACTATGTCTGCAAATTGCATAAATCTTTATACGGACTCAAACAGGCGCCACGATAGTGGTTCAACAAATTTACCACCTCTCTCAAGGCCTTTGGTTTTACCATCACCGACCCATCACTAATATACATTTGAGCTAACATCTCTTTGTATCTCCTCATCTATGTTGATGATTTGCTTCTTATAGGAAATGACTCTACCACTATACAACAGCTTTTAGTGAAACTGCAATCATAATTCTCACTTAAAGAACTTGATTCCATCTCTACATTTCTTGGTATTCAAGTTCAAAAGACCAAGCGTGGACTGTTTCTTCACCAATTTCAATATGCAACTAATTTACTCACCTTATCTGGCTTCACAAACTGCAGACTTGTATCAACACCTATGGCTCTCAAGCCACCCGCCAGCTCCGATGCAGATCAACCGTATTCCAATCCCACCTTTTATCACAAGATCGCTGGATCTCTCATGTATCTAACCATTACAAGGCCTGATATAGCCTTTGCTGCAAATCACATATGTCAATCCATGCATTGCCCCACCAACCAAAATTTTATGTCACTCAACTGGCTCCTTCGTTACATAAAGGGTACATTAAACTTCGACATTCCCTTTCAACCAGGTGATTTGCAGCTCCGAACATATGTCGACACCGATTGGGCTGCAAACAGATCAGATCGCAAATTTGTCACAGGTTTTTTTTCGTACCTCGGTCCCAATCTCATTTCCTGTCAAGTTAAGAAGCAAGCCACAGTTGCCAAGTCTTCAACGGAAGCGAAATATCGGGCTCTTTCCACAACCACGTCTAATGTCCTGTGGCTTCATCGTCTTCTTCATGAATTTCAGGCAACTCAATCTGCTCCGACTTCCATTTACTGCGACAATACTTCTGCACTTGCTCTAGCTCACAATCCAATTTTTCATGCCCGGACGAAACACATCGAGCTGGACTACCACTTCATCAGTGAACATATTCGCTCCGATGCAGTTGATGCTCTTCATATCAGCTCCGTGGATATGCCAGCTGACATTCTAACAAAATCACTTCCTGCATCCCACTTCAAACTCCTGCGACACAAATTGACCACCCAAGATTTGGATACTCAACTTGCGGGGGGCTGTTAGCACACTCGGCAGCTTACTCCACTTCCGTGAGGACCACCTGCTACAGCCGTCTGCCCACTTCCTTTATTCTCTGCAAGCAGTCTGGCGCCCAACTATTTTGGCATATTTTGTCTCCTCATTACACTTCTATATATATGTATTCAGCTCTGTGATATAATATACAAAAGGATTAAAATTTGCTACAATAAAACTATTCTTCTTCTTCTTCTTCTCTGCCTTTCTCATTTCTGTGTATAGCAGTTCTTCAACTGCAATTAAAACTTCTCAGATATGTCTATCAAAATTTTAAAGACTAACCTCTAAGTTGTAGAGAATAAACCATGTGCATGAACATTAATCTATGACACCATCGAATTGCAAATAACCATATGCATGAAGATTAATTACATTTGCAAGCATTTCTTCGTTCATGACTTTTAGGCTCAACACTTCTATGTTCATAAAATTTGACGCTTCCTTAATTTAAAGCTAATCCATTACAACTGTTCTTACAGACATAAAAAGTAAGTTCTTCAAAACAAGCCTATTAAAGCCTAAATTTCTCCTTGGTCTAGGCAATAGAATGCACATTTTTATAACGTAATGCCGAAAAATGGCTCCACAACCTTTAAAAAGAGATTGTGTACTTTTCCATGAATTGCATGAATATTAAGTTTATAATTGCTTGAATGTAAACTTTATGAATGCAAATATATGTATTCTCGATTTATAGGTCTTTATGATCATTCTAATCTACATCATGCTTTTTTCTGTAAAAATCTGTTTTCAGCATGCCATCAATTTTAAATATCTCTGTGCAGCACAAGGAGCACCTTGTTAGTTTGAACAGATGGTTGTAAACACTAGATTATCTTCTTTTCTTTTCTTTTTTTAAATCATCCATCATTGGTGGGAGCATGTCCTTCAAGGCAAGCAAAGAGCTCACCAAGAAGAGAGACAAGACCATAGCGACTCACACACCACTCAAACAAATGTCATTAGTTAGGCATGGCCTAGGTGAGTATCATGCCACAAGTGGCTACTGAATTAAACAAGCATCATACTTAGATTGGAGTGGTGGGAGCTAATACCACAAACATCTAAGGTGATTTAGTTTTAATGATCAAACAACAGAGTATCATGCCTAATTATTATTGCAAAGCCATGCATGTTATAAAGTAAAATAAAAAAGTTTAAGTGTAAATTATTTGAACATATCTTTCCGATACTTTTATAAGATAATCTATTAAGAAAAATTTTGCAATTTGGAATGCAAAAAAAAAAGAAGATAAATTAGCAGTTCTTAGGATTAGTAAGATGATTATCATTAAACTCTTCAAAAGTAGTTCATATAATTAAAATAGGATTATCGGGACAAGAAATAAATATGTCTTTGCAAAAAAAATTAATTTCCCTAAGCACCTCTAGCAATAGAAAAGCATATTTCTTTTGGAAGAATAAGATAATAGTGTTAAAGAAAATATTGTTTCAAAATGACCGCTACAAAAACCACAAAGAAACTAGTCATGTGGCTCATAAGAATTCCTTAAAAAAACATCTTCGACACAAAAAAAAGAGGGTGAACTTACGGCTGCTATTGAAGGCAAACCTTTAGGATAATCTTGAGACAATCCAATAAACAAAGTATGCTTCCTGTCATTTTCATCTCTATCAACACAGAAAGAAGCAATTAGATTGTCAATAATATTAAGCAAAATAAACTAATCGGGAATATCTCAAACAGAACACGATAAGTAGGCATGATCTGCAATCTATTTCAAAATATTTTGAGTTCAGCGGCTACTTCTCCAGCAACAGCCATTCCACATTCATCACCCAATACTGACATTACAGTCTCTTATAACACAATGACTACAGTACAATTATAAATTACACAACATGAATATTTCAAGAATAAATTTATAAAGTATATTTTATGATTTTAAGTTACCAATATTGAATATGTTATTTGTCAATTCTTTTTTCCAAATAATTTCTTTATTGATAATTCAATATTTGAGGTCAAACTATACATAATCACAAAATTGGCATCATCTTATTATGCGGCATATTGGTTTGAAGGGGTCACTTGGTTCCCTGATATCTTCTTTAGACGTCTTATTAGCAGATATCAGCATTTGGTTCACTGGGATCTTCAAATAATATCTTTGTAGGTGACATTCATGACTTATTTTGTGATATCTAAATGTTGGTTAAATAGGTTACATCTATGTAGCAAGTTATTGAATGTCTAAAATAAATTACAACAAAAAAATAATAGAATTATTTTTGACGTCTAAATAACATTACATGGTTAAGTAAGATGGCATTGAAGACACACTACATTGATAGATAGATTTGTAATAGTAAGAGACGTGTGGGCTTTAGAAATAGCATGATGATGGTGATGGTAAGAGAAGTGTAGGCTCTAAACAGAGTTCATGAGCTCGAAGTGAGATCCCTTTCTTCTAACTCATTTGAGAGTTTAGGGATTAGATGCAGAGCAATCTGAAGTTTTTAAAGACACGATATTTAACTTTAGATGAGGTTTTTCTTAAACAAAATTATTTTATATCAAATATGAGGGATTGAGGCTCCCAAGGGCACAAGTCCCCATGATAAATTACATCTCAGGTGCGATAATCAAAAGCATTCTCAATTAGGGAGATCATTTGCACTGAAGATTGGTTGTCATTATTTGGTTTATGACATGGGGATATGGTTGGGGGATAAGTGGCAAATTGTTCAAGATCACACGGTTTAAGGGTTTAGTCATCCCACGTTAATCGAGTGGGCCCAATTTATTAAAAATAGATAGGGGTGTCAATTCGGGTCAACGGGTCGGGTTCGGGTCGAACCCGGAACTGACCCGGCACTGTTCGGGTCAACGAACCCGGATTTTTCCGGGTCGGGTTCGGGTCGTGTTTCGTGTCGTGTCAAAAATTGACATCCCTAAAAATAGAGCAATTGGGAGGTCGTTTTAATCACTGAGTTCGATTAGTAACCATTGGTTGCCTCTTCTCAATTATCCTTAGTAACTATGATGATAAATATGCTTAAAGACACTCACTTGGTCTTAATGAGATATTTTAAGTGAGATTTGAATTGAATCAGTTCAAGGATACCAATATGATTGACAATGATTCAACTATAATTTTATGCGAACATTGAAAGTTCAACACAATGGACTTTGTCAATTTTACGTGAACACTGAAAGCATGGCCAGTTAAGTGATTCAATATTAAATTTTGAATTCACCTAAGAAATCTAGAGCATACACATATATGGTTCAAGTATTGTAGGAAAATCTTTGAGGTTGTAATTCCTATATAGAATATTTAGCTTGAGGTTGTTCCCAAGGATCCATATGTCACTAACAAGATGATTAAACAATCAATTTGGCTCTTTAATGCCCTTATGCCAAATAGCTCCTGAAATCTACCCGAGTGGGTTAAGGAGGCTGAATAGTTCCATTAAGTGTTCTTATTGATGTACCTCCAGATTATTTGTTTCCCTGAGCTAAAGGTATTTAGAAGTTTCCTGCAAAGTCAAAGCATGGCCGCTATACTGCTAGTACAGACTCTAGAAATGCCAAGTCATCTTATTGAAACTTTAAAGGTCAACTTTTAGCATGATATCTGGAAAACTAGATGATGTAGAACCAAGCTAGTCATGATTGGGGTGGCATTATTAATTTAATAGAGTTGCCAATTATGATCTCTCAATAAAGGAAATAGGAATTAAATCAAATTTCAAATCTGAAGTTAATTTGGAGTAATTGACTGAGAGACTTGATTGGGAGGAGCAAAAAGGGAAAGGGAGAGAGGGAGGGGCCGGCCCCTTTGATGGGGAATTGATTGGAGTGTTTTATGACTTGCCAATCCTAGACTATCAATTATGGGAGGGGAAATTAAGGCCAATCTCCCATTAAATACAAATTGGCATGATTGGGAGAGGTTTCCTACTATAGCTCAAGTTATTTTAGTAAAGGGATTTCAAACTTTGAGTAAATTAAAATCTGATTTGAAAACTTTCCTAATTTAAATTGCATTAATTATGGAAAGTAGTGACTATACATCTTCAGCTTTCTCACCCTAGGACCATCATCGCCCCAATAGCTTCTTCCTTTTCCAGTGTAGCGGTTTTTGTAATCCCTCCATGTTTCTCTTTTCCCAAAATCAACTCTCCAATCTTCAGCAACTGAAATTCATCATGGGTCATCCTTCACCCATTCCCCTCCTTAAAAGTGGCTCCAAAGGTGACATCTCCTCTTCTTCCCCCAAAATTTTCACCTCCAGATTCTCCTTCATCGTCCCTATATTAGGATTTCCGCCACTTATCCAGTCAACGGTGCCCTTGCCTCTGATGATGTCATCTTTATTTGAAAGTCTAACATCTTTTCATCATCTCTTCCAAATTCAAAAATCCACCCTCAATTGCTGAAATTCGCTCTCAGAATTCAGATTTCAGATTTCCAACTTCACCATTAAGCCTCTCCTCCAACGCATTATCCTTCTTGGTTTCCATAGGTCCCAAAAAAGGTGTTTTGATGCCAATTTTATAGGAATCTGATCTCCACACAGCAAAATCAATAATAACGAAGAGAAAATGCAGTAGAATTCAGTGAGAAAGACTGAGATATTGGCATAACAAACTAAGATACAAGTTAATCTACTATTCAAAAGGTAGATGAGCTCACCACAAACCCTAGGCTCAGCTAGGAATAATTCTAAAGAAAACTACAGCAAAATATAATTCACATAATGAAAATAAAATAACCCAATTTATCCTAATATAAACCTTCTTACTTCTCTCCCAAATCTGAATTCAAATTAACCATCTTTTCCTAAATAAACCTTTCCTAATTCCCTCCCAAATCTGAATTCAAATCAGTCTTCTTTCCCTAAATAAACCTTTCTTAATTCCCTCTGAAATTTGAATTCGAATAAGCCCTCTTTCCCTAAATAAACTTTCCTAATTTTCTCACAATTTTAATTTTCTATGGTAAGTAATAAAAGGTGGAATTAATCCCCTTTGCTCTTCTTGCCTGACACCCACCCAAGAGGGGCCCATAGGCTTAGCCGGTCCATCATAATACCTATAAAATTAAGAATGCAACTTTCAATGATGATTGAGAATGATCAGTCGGAATGATGGAAATCAAATATTCATTTTTAAACTCCATATGAATAGATCAAATACAATGGTTTTAGTCATGACAGAGGATAAAAGGTGAATCAATAAGATGAGTAAATAAATTAATGTGAAAGAGTTAGAAAAGGTACGACATGCAAAAGATAAACGAGTTAGACGTAAATGGTCGTTTAGAACTCAGCAAAAATGAATGAAAAATAGGTATTAATAAAACAAAATCCAAGATATTTAAATAAGGCTAATTATGTAGATGACTAATACAAAAAATGATGAGTATTCTTAAATATCAAGCATATGACCTTGTTCAATTAACTTTAAGAGCTTTAATTTGTTGAATGTTAGAGAATTATCTTTCCTCCTAATTAGATAGTTTGCTTATGATGTCTTACTCTCCCATATTCCATAAACCTTATTTTCCTTCAACTTAAAGTTCCGTACCATTTTGTAATTCTTTTTCCTAAACTAGCATTTGTGATGACCACATATTAATCTACAAATGAAAGGTGTAACAAAATGCATGAAATTCCTGTCAATATGAAATTTTGGAAAAATCTTACCTCTTATATTCATCAAGAGAATATTTCCATGACTTCTTTGAATCAAAATGAAGGCAACTATGCTAATGCTAAAAAACCTCTATGTATAATTGAAAAAAAAAAAAAAGAAGAAGAAGCCTAATGACTCAAGCTAGCAAATGTTGTACTAGATTTAAAATTACGATGTCATCAAAATTGCAAATCCAATTTATCGGATTGACGTTTGAGACTTTGAGTTGGTGAAGAGAATAAGTCAAACATAAGGTGTAAATAAATTATTTGAGGTTTAAAAAGAGTATATACAAAATAGTGAAGCGTGGTGCGGTCAAATGAGAGTTGACCAACTAGTTTATTGAGCTCAGCATACGCCTCATTCTACAATGCCAAATGAGCAAGTGATCTACATGGTCCTTGATAACTTTCTCTTCTAATCTTGAAATGTACTAAAGCCAATGTTCCAAGCCATTGTAATATGGTAAATGGTGCACAAGGAACAAAAAAAAGCCTATACTGGAGGGGACGGGCCAAAACAAGTGCCTCATCTGAGGGGAAGAATATCAGTGTAGTTTAAGAATAATCCACATTTGATGGTTACAAAGAACTTAACATCTTATACATTCCTCCCAGTGAAATCCACCAATTTGCTTAAACTTCTAAATAATGGCTTTCCAACTCCTATCAAATTGGGCCTAATCACCCAAAATTTTCACCCACTAGCATGATTTAAATATTTACATAGCTTGAATAGTAATATAACACTATACATAGCTCATACTAGTAAAAAAATAATATTCCCATCCTTAAAAATCTTAAACATCATATAACTTGGCAGCAAACCATCATTTTAACCGAGTTATTACAGCGCTACATTTTGAAAGATATATCAAACCACCAAGGAAGAAATAAACAATATTGGACAAGTACAATCAAGGACAGAGTATAGTTCTAGAAGCAATAAAAGAAAGAACTCCAAAAAGAATAAATATGGATCTCTTACAAGATACAAAAGCTGAGAGAAGACAGATCTTTTTCCAAATGTACTAGATGTTCCCAGCCAACCTCTTCTATCTGAAGGCATAATATTTTTAATTTATAAAGCGAAAAGAGTAAACCCTTTTCCTTATTAACAAGTAAAAGTAAGAGAGGTAAAATCTGTGTTTTTTTTTTTTTTAATTTGCGTGGATAAGTAAACCAAAGGAGAAAATAAAAATTAATGAATGACAAAAAACAAATGCTTAAAACCACAAGAAGATAGAAAACTTACAAACACATCATATGTAAGTCATTTGTAAATAAAATTCAATTATAAAAAAGAAAGTTATTGAGTAAACTTGTAAACCCCTTATCCACATAATAAATAGGGAAAATGACACTTAGGCTCTTAAAGTATAGACTACGCTTTATGTTGGCCCACATTGCTCAAAACACTTAACCTAGGTCCCATAAGTGATAATACATCTGCAAGTAGTTCCTTGTTGTAACAACTTTCTTAATTTGGCTGTTAAATATGGTCACGTGACTTTGAACATGATGTTTTTACCATTCTTTAACGAGAAAATGTCAAATATAGACTTCACATAGGTTCATACTTTTCCAAAGTGAAGGAGAAAGGCCAAATCGAGATAATTGGCTCAAAGTGGTGGGATTTAAAGCATAAGAGGCTCTGAAGACGATTAAGGAAGAAAATATTGGGATTTCACTTCCAAGTTGTTGGTCCAAATCACATGGTGATTATGGACTTTAGATTCAATCATGTTTGGATCTTCATGAACTCCGAAGGAAAGGTTACCAACACACTCTCGATTGAGCAGATAGGCCTAATAAAAATCATTAATCACCCTTCATGATGATCCACGTTTCTCAAATGACTATTCACCTACACCTACATCTCTATTAAAACAACTTAATTAATTTCACCATATGTGACCTTGCACGTGATATTTTTAACCATTTTTCGATAAGAAAAGCGTCAAATATAAATTCCATTTAGATCATAAAAGCAGGTCCCTAAATAACCAACATGCAACTGGATGGTAATTTGGGTGACTTTGGTTATAAGGCATTTGGGTGAACAGTTTAAGATGATAGAGAAAAAAACTTCACAGCAAGGCATGCTGATGTGATGCGTCGGAGAGTTACACAAGAAGTTAAAACGAGAATTAAATTTCAGCTTCTCAAATTAATTAATCATGCATCAAAGTTAAGTCAATTATAAATCATTCGCGGTGTTCAATATGCTAGGCAAAGAAACTACAACAAGAAAGCCAAGTCTTTTAAGCAATTGCAAAAGAAAACATAACACAATAGCTAGTAAATAAAATCCCGCGATTAATACCAAGTTGTTCACACTTTGAGGTCTTTGGCACTCTCTTCCTACGAAGACTAGGTTGAACGGCGGAAGATTGACCAAACTAGCATGGAGGTTGCCACTAAGACGGAAGCGCCAAGGAAAGTCGCCGTGGAAGAAGATCTCGGAGGCGGAGGAGGCACGGTAGATCGACCTTCGATAAGCCAAGTGTAGTCGGAAAAGTGATCGTCGACGGTCTCTATCAAGGTGGGTACGATCCGTGATAAATACTCCACAACGGTATCGTCGAAGTCGAATCCGACGTCGAAGAAAGGAGACCGGAGGATGTCGACCCTTCCGTTGTCGTCGTACTCAAAACCGTAATTCCACTCGGGTTCGTCCATGCATCCTTGGAGTGGATCCGGACGGTTGCCGCAAGCAAGATCTCCCCAAGGAGGGAGGGTGGGGCGGCGGCTTGGAGAGGGAGAAGGGAGCCGGCGGTAGAGCAAGGGGAGGGGCGGGTTGGTGGAGAGCAAACTGAAATTTAATTTCAGTTTTTGTGAAGTTAGGAGGGAAAGATTAGGGATTTTGAAATTCCAATTAATGTAATTAATGCATTAATTGAAAATTTCAATTAGGGAGGAATTATGGGAGAGCCGGCGGTAGGAAGAGGAGCAATAAAACTGAAATTATTTCAGTTTTAAGAGGATTGGAGGGAAGAAATTAATCCTAATTTGAATTTCAAATAGGATTTGGGGGGTTTAATTGAGCCATTAATGGGGTTTCCCATAGGTGGCCGGCGGCATGCTTGGAGAGGGAGGAAATTGGGGGAGAGAGAAAGGGGTTTCCAATTGGGATTTGATGACTAGGAAAATATTAGAATAAATCCACTCTCATGCAAATTTTATTTTGGATTGGTTTCAAAAACTTTCCAAAAATAGAATTTCCCAATTTGGAAAGTAATGAAGTTTGAAAATCCAATTTCAATGAATTGTGGAAAGAAAAAAAAGGGAGAAGGGGTGGAGGGGGAGGATGGCCGGCGGCAAGGTGGTTGTCCGGCGGGCCTAGGGTGGCCGGCGGTTGGGCTTCAAGGGGAAACTTGCTTCAAGAGAATTCGGCTCCTTTCACGGTGGTGAATTGTATGCGGGAGATGTGGGTAGAGAAGAAGATGGAAGCATATAACGATTTCGAGAACTCACTAAGAGATCTCTAATGGAACTCACAAAGAGATCCAAATCTTGGCACTCACAAAGAGAACACAAAATAAAATTTTCATTCAATAATTCAATAATCCTCATACAAGATACAATGGCCATATAAATAGGCCCCAAAGAAAATAAAGTGCAAAAGTCTAAAATGCCCCTTGGGGCTACAAAAGCAACTACTACCCTCAGGGGTAAAATGGGAAACTACGAAAATAAAAGCATAATATAAAAAACTGATAGTACAAGTACAATCAAAAATAAAGTCAGTGGATTGTTGGGGTTTAAATCAGGACCCTCAAAGGCTACTATATCCTCAATATTAAAAGTGGGATTCATATTAAACCCTTCCGGGAGTTCTAGCACATAAGAATTACTGTTAACCTTCGCAATTATTTTAAATGGTCCAGCGCTTCTCGCATGTAATTTCTTTACGGACCCAGGAGGAAAACGCTCCGGGCGGATCCGTACCATCACAAAATCTCCCACCTTGAATTCTTTAAATCTCCTTTTCTTATCAGCATGAATTTTATAATCAGTGTTGCTTTGTTCAATTTTCTTTTTAATTTCATTGTGTAACTCATGCAGATGAGATGCGAATGCAAATGCAGACTCAGATGTTCTAGTCCTAGGACTCATGGGAACTAGGTCAATGGGCTGACTTGGCTGATAACCATACACAATCTCTGCAGGGCTGAGGCCAGTGGTTCGGTTTATAGAGTTGTTGTAAGCAAATTCAGCTATAGGGAGCTTCGAGTCCCAATCCCTAAGGTTTTCTCCTACCAAGGTCCTTAAAAGATTCCCGAGACTCCTATTGACAACCTCGGTTTGGCCATCAGTTTGTGGGTGAAAAGCAGTGGAGAATTGAAGTTTTGTCCCCATTTTGTGCCAAAGGGTTTTCCAGAAATAACTTGTGAACTTAACATCCCTATCGGACACGATTGTCTTAGGAAGGCCATGGAGTCTAACGATTTCATCAAAGTAAAGCTTAGCGATTCGGGAAGCATCGAAAGTTTTGGAGCAAGGGAGGAAATGTGCCATTTTTGAAAATCGATCAACAACCACAAAGACGGAATCACGCTTCCTAGGGGTTTTGGGTAAACCTAGGATAAAGTCCATACTCACATCTTGCCACGGGCGGCTCGGTACTGGGAGCGGGGAGTAGAGTCCTGTGTTCTGTTTTCGCTGCTTGGCTAGTTGGCAGATGTGACATCGCCTTAAGAGTCTTCCGACATCGCGCTTGAGACTGGGCCAGTAAAAACGGTTTTCTAGCGCAGCAATAGTTTTTGCCTGCCCGAAGTGGCCTGCTAAATCTCCTGCATGTAATTCCCAAACAAGATATTCACGAAGGGAGGTTTGGGGAATGCAGAGTTTCTGGGCCTTGAATAGGTACCCATTCTCTACTACAAAATCATCCGTCGTGTGCCCATATCCGGAAGTCAAAAGGGAATAGGTGTCGTTAAAGTTCGGGCAGTCCTTATAGTCTTCCTTAAGGCGTTCAAATCCGATAACTTCAGTCCTCATCTCTTGGGTGATCATAAGTCTCCTACTAAGGGCATCCGCAGCTTTATTCTCACTTCCCGCTTTGTGCCTAATCGTGTATGTGTACTCCTGCAAGAATTCGACCCAACGACCATGGCGAGCGTTGAGTTTCTTCTGCGAGTTTATGTATCTCAAGGCTTCGTGATCAGAGAATATCTCAAATTCTTGAGGCAGCAAGTAATGTCTCCAGTACCTAAGAGATTGGATGACCGCATAAAACTCCTTGTCATATGTTGAATACCGCTGACGGATGTCATTTAATTTTTCGCTAAAATATGCCACAGGGTGTCCTTCTTGAGATAAAACTCCTCCAATACTGATCCCTGACGCGTCGCAGGTTACTTCGAATACTTTGGAAAAATCCGGGAGACGCATCACAGGGGCTTCCACCATTTTCCTCTTAATGTCCTCGAAGGCTTTAGTGGCAGCAGGTGTCCAATGAAATTCACCTTTCTTTAGGCAGTCAGTTATGGGTGCCACGATAGTACTGAAGTTTCTGATGAACCTCCGATAGAATGTGGCCAATCCGTGAAAACTCCGAACATCTCTTATGGTTTTAGGCTCAGGCCACTCGTTGATCGCTCTAACTTTCTCGGGGTCGGCTGAGATTCCTCGAGATGAGATTATAAATCCGAGAAAGGTGACACTATCAGTAAGAAACACACACTTCTGAGGGTTCGCATATAACTGCTCTTTTCTCAAAATCTCACATACTTGTTTCAGGTGTCCCAAATGTTGGTCTACGGATTTGCTATAGATTAGGATATCATCAAAGTAGACGACTACGAATTTTCCGAGGAAGGGTCGTAGGACTTGGGTCATAATCCGCATGAAAGTGCTAGGGGCGTTACTAAGACCAAAAGGCAAGACCATCCATTCATACAATCCGTCCTTTGTCTTGAATGCCGTTTTCCATTCAACCCCTGGACGAATCCTGATCTGATGATATCCGCTCTTAAGATCCACTTTGGAGAACAGTGTTGCCCCAGTCATCATATCGAGCATGTCGTCTAGACGGGGGATTGGAATGCGATACTTAACGGTAATCTTGTTGATAGCGTGGCTATCAACACACATCCTCCAGGAGCCGTCTTTCTTTGGAGTCAGGAGGGCAGGAACGGCACATGGGCTAAGGCTTTCTTTAATAAATCCACGTTGTAGAAGTTCCTCTACTTGCCTTTTTAGCTCAGCGTGCTCCATTGGATTCATCCGGTAGTGAGGGAGGTTAGGCAGGGATGCTCCAGGAACCAAGTCTATAACATGTTGAATGTCTCTGAGGGGAGGAAGTTGGTCAGGTAACTCCTCGGGGAAGACATCAGCGAATTGCTCTAGTAGGGGTCTTACTTCGTCAGGGACTTGCCCTTCGTGATCATCATCCACTTCCCTAGCTACCAGGGCGTACATGGGTGTTCCTTGGTGAAGCTCAATGTCCACTTCTTTCGCAGTTAAGAAGTGTAGACCCTTATTAGGCTTAGGTGGAATAACCTTAGTTCCGCTCTTATCGGGTCGGGGCTGTGAGGGGATCAGCTTAATCTTCTTCCCGTTGTGTTCGAACACGCAGGTGTTCGTCCTCCCATAAATGTGGACATCATTGTCAAACAGCCAAGGGCGGCCAAGAATAATTTGACCCACATCCATAGTCAATACATCGCACCAAATCTTTTCCTGATATCCATTAAACTCGAGCGGGATAAGGCTCCTATCTTTGATTTCCATAGAAGTTGAGTTAATCCAAGCGACCTTATACGGATTTGGATGAGGTGTGGCCTTAAGGTTGAGCTTAGAAATCATCGCTGACGAGACAGCGTTGATGCAGCTTCCACTATCGACAATGACCTTACAGTTCTTATCCCCGATCTTCGTAAAGGTGTGGAAGATAGCTGTTCTTCTCCAATCATCGCTCGGCTTGGGTTGGGACAGCGCACATCTAACGACTTGAAGAGTGACGGGTTCATCCTCCGTAAAAGAATCTTCCTCTTCATCTACATGATGAACTACATCAATATCAGGCTCTTCCTCGTCGTCATCGACCTCTTCTATAATGGTGACCTTATAGGGGCTGGAACATTGTGAGGCAATGTGCCCGTACCCATGACACCTATAACATTTGGTTCCATAATTGGGTTTTTGGGTGTCCCGTTCAGGTGCTTTACCCTTAAGGTCGGAACGTTGAGGGGCTGAGCTAGCAGTGGGTCGGCTACCGGTTGAGTTTGAGGGTCGGTTTTGAGGCTGGCTGGTGGAAGAGCGATACGGGTTGGGTCAAGTACCAGGCTGCAAGCGGCCTCTAGTGTGTCTATTCCCCTAGCAAACAGTTCAGTGCGAAGATCTTCTCGAAGGCCAGCTCTAAACATAGACAGGATTTGCGTTGGGGTAGCAGATTCCTCGCCGTTACAACGAATCAGGAAATCGTCGAAGGCGGAGATGTAATCTTTAACTGACTTGCTTCCCTGAGTTAGCCGATTCCACTTATCTAAGAGCTTAGGGTAGTAGGACGGTGGTAGGTATTTCCTCCTAAGTTCCTGCTTCATGGTTCTCCAATCGCTTATTGGGTGTTCTCCTCGAGATTCACGCATGTTCTCCAGATTGGTCCAGTAAAGGTTGGCTCGTCCGGTGAGCTTCATTTCAGCGAATCTGACTTTCTTCGCTTCAGAGATGTTGTACCATTTAAAATAGCTATCCATCGACTTGAGCCAGTCGAGGAAAACTTGGGGATCAAGTGTTCCATCAAAAGTTGGGGCGTCGATCCTAATGTTTTTCAAAAGCTGAGCGTCATTGTCTCTCCAAGGATTGTCGTGTTCTACGGGCTCTTGATGGGGTCTAGGATTATGACGATAATGGTCTTGGAAGTGTCCTGGTTCGCGAGGTTGTTCGCGATCGGGTCGGTTGTCGTCACCATAAGGTGAGTGAGGTCGGGAAGGCGTGTAGATCGCAGGGTTTCTCATCCGTTCAATATTATCTAGACGGTCACTCGTATGACGTCTAAAATCGGCTAAATCCGTTTGGGTGTTGCGGATTTGTTGTGTAACCGATCCCAATTGCCCAACTATGAGGTCTAAAGTCGCTTGCAAGTGTTCCGAGTCCATTGGTGAAGGTTGGCGGTTGCTAGAGAACGTAATGGAAGGCTCCCTAAGTCAAGGGCAGCAGTTAAACTCACCAAAACGCTTGCTGAAATTGAAGTTTACAGCAGCAGGAAAGTGTTGGGCAGCAAGCACAA